GAACCGGAGAGGGGGTGGGGGCGGCCGCGGCTGGCGGGCGGGTCGTCGTTGGAGGTGGAGGAGGAAGGGGAGGAGGAGGAGGAGGAAGAGGAGGAGGAGGAGGAGGAAGAGGACAAGGATCAGGAGGAGCAGGGGGAGGAGGAGGAACAGGAGCAGGAGGAGGAATGCAGGAATGCAGATGAGGGCCACATCCACGGTGGCTAATCAGAGGAGGAACCCTTTGTCCCCACCCCTTTCCTGGGGGGGTCCCCTCCTTGGGGGCCTCCTCGAAACAAACTTCGGGCAAGGAGGAATACCCAAGGTATTCATCCAATTCGACAGGGCCATGCACACCACCCCTCTGAGGACTGTCCTCGGAGGCGAGGGCCACCACGTGTGCACTCGAGATCGCAGCAGGAGTCCCTCTGTGGGATGGGAAGAGGCCCCTAGAAATCCTAGAGAGGTTCTCCCTGCCCTTAGCAGAAGGCTTCTGGCAGGGAGCAACCAGCCTGCGTGGGTCGGCAGTGGCAGTGCAACCGCACACAGAGCAGAACCTCATGCCATACTTCTGCCATTCGTGCACGGAATGGCTGTCATGCAGCCTTTGGCCTCCAACCTTGATCACGCCCGCCAGACGCGAGAATCCAACACCCGTAAACCGCCCAGCAGAAGGGGCCAGGCCAGGAGACCGCACCGAGGGCACGCCACTGCTGGCAGCCGACGCGGCATTGCACGGCGCCCCGACAATGGGGGCCGCACCAGGCGCACCGCCAGGGGCGGGCACCGAACCAGTGAGAGGAGCCGCGTCCGCCGTGGCGACGGGGGGAACCGAAGACCCGGCACCGCACGGCGAACCCGCAAACACCGCCAGGTCGGGTGAATTCGCAAGCGCACGGCAGCCAGCACAAAATATGTTACCCTGGCTCAGCTTCTGTAGTCGATGGGAGGTGCTGGCTAGGGAGGCCGACAGCTTGGACAAAGGCTTGGTTCGGACCGTGGCAGGACGATCCGCATTCCAAGAAGCAGCGAGAAGGTATCAATCATCGCTCGCCTCGCACGCCGACGGACCAAGGAAACTATAACATCATACCTGTCCGTCTGCGGCCCTGGCAGAGCAGCACCCATATCCCATTCCCGCTTCGCCACCCACCCCGCCCAGACGTCAGCAACAGCGTTGCCCTGAGACATGAAGCATTGAAAGGTAGACGAGATGCGCTCTGGCTCCTCTTGGAGATGGGATGGGGTCCAGAGCACTTCCACCACTCCAGGCCCGCCGCGATCAGCCGCTAGGCGGATTCTGACCCACAAGTCGGAATTGCGGCCCGCGGACCGCCAAGGACGGCCCGCCTTCCAGCCGTCCGCAACAGGCTTGCAATCGCGCGCGTACACCAAGGGGCCCTGGGTGGGTTCGAGGGCCAGGGCGAGGGCAAGCAGCTCATCCCTGGGGACAGTTTGAACTGCTCCAGACAGGGGGGCAGCGAGTCGGCTCCTTGGGAGCCACGCTCTGGTCGGGGGGCAAACCGCGTCGTCACAAACGTGTTCCAGACACACCACGGCCGATCCACAGCGGCGCCTGCGACGGTCATGCGTGTATTTCCCCCCCCCGACCCACCCCCAAAAACATCAAGAGGGCGCCCTCCCAGTGGCGACGAGAGGTCCATCAAGGGCACGCCACCCAAGGGGATGGGGTCGGAGAGCCCAGGAGGCTCCACAAACCGCGGCACACTGAGCAAGGACGCAGGGACGCCTCGCAGCCAAAGGACAGGGTCGGAGCCGGCGCCCGCAAGGGCTGCAGTGATTAACGAATCAGTGGAGCTGTAATCATCGTGGCAGCTGTTTTTTTGGCACTCCGCGGCAACGTTTCGCGGCAATGTTGGCAGCGAGGGCAAAGCAGGCTCACGACGTAGCCCGCCTCCAACTTGCGGTCCTGAGGCCACTGTTCACCCGGGGCCGCCGTCAGCGTCGCCCCCAACAAGTCCATGGAGCCCTTCTTCGCGAAGGAATTCCATTCAGCCTGTACCAGCTGCAGATCGGCACCATCAGTGAGGGTCTCGCCGTGGGGGTGGGCAGCAGCCTTGCGCCATCCAATCCGAGCAACGCCAGCAGCGAAAGCGGCGAGCAATTCATCAAAGTCGCCCAAGGCAGTGTCCTTGAAGGCGTCGTCGCAGGCGGTAGGAAAAGACCGATCCCCCGCGCCAGAGGGGGGGCCTGCAGGGCTGCGCAGGGGTCTCGAATTCCACGCCAGGAGATCTCGTCGCCCAGCTAGGCGCAGACAATAGACCAGACACGCTAGATGCGGGTACAAAGAGCAGGTTGCGCAAGCCATGGCCTGATCCATTCAGTAATCAGAGCCCGCCGCATTTGCACCCCAGGGTCGTCGATGCCGAGGGTCGCTTGCAGCGCCGTTTGTAGGCAGCGTCCACGCTTGCGCCCGACTATGGCAACAGCCGCCTGGCGGCGCAAGCTCAGCGCAGTGGTCGGAGGGGCCCCCATCGCTTGGTGTCCATAGGCGGCCGCAGGGTAGGATCCCGTCCGCCACGGGCCTTGCGCTACCTGATGGCTCCCACGCAGTCGGCGCAGCTTGTGGATCTGGTTGGGGCGCAGCTTGGCCCTCTTGAGCCGCGTGCGGAACTCCTTCTGGTTTTGCCTCTTAGCACCTGCAGCATCCACGCCAAGTTTCACCGCTGAACCAGTTAGTTGGATTGGAATGCCAACTGCGGTGAGCGAGGAGACCAGCTCCTTCCCGATGCCAGGCGAGCTTACAACCAGTCTTTTCTTGTCCGAAATGGTGGGCCGAGCCTGATGGAAGGAGGTGGCCAGAGATTCGGCATCCATTTGTATATCTCGGACGACCCTCATCTCGACGCCTTCATTGCGGCAGGCGGTGTCATCAATAAATGTCCATAGCCCCGTGGCCGGGGACGCAAAGCGAGCCTTCTACATAACCCCATGCAGGAGAACTTTAGACATGTCCACACCTCGAGGCGACCCAGCATCGACCGACTTGCCCGCCTGGAAGACCAGGCGGGCATTGCGACCTGTCTAGAGCATTCTGGGGAGGCGTACATGGTGACCTCCATCAATGCAACGATCGCGGGGCAGCCCAGGGAGCGGCTCGCCCGTGCGAGGAGGACGAAACTGATCGAGTCGTGGAACTTCTGCAGGTCCAGGAATAGCGCGGCATGCTCGATGCAGAGCTCGTTGGCGCACTCATCCATGAAGGCGCGCGCCAACGCAGCACGTAGTGCCGAACTCCAAGCAATCGCAGTATTCCCAAAATGCACCTTGCTTCTCAGACCGCGCAGTTGAGGGTGCAGCGCGAGCGCGGCTCCACAGCTTGAAGGGCAGGGGCGGCCCACGCGGCAGCCGCCCGCTTCCTTGGGGATGGCGGCCCCCAGGGCCGTGAATATGTCGGTCGACCAAGCAACTCCACACCCAGCCTTGATGAGAATATCCACCAGATGTCGTCGCGCAATATCAGGAAGGCGATGCGCATCACGAGGGCCCAGCACATCTACGCCTGGCGCTTTGCCAGGAGCCATAAGCTTGAGTGCGCAATCCAATTGGTCCAGGGCGATAGCTGACAGTTATTGGGCGCGAGCGTCTGCCAGGGGCTGACCACGCCAGTAGCGAAAATCAGCCGCGGGGCCATATCGCCCTGTCCAGATCTTATCCCACTTCTCCCTATATATATTCCCAATGTGCCCTGGGGGTCGCTGGCGGCGCGGCCCTGGGAGTCCTGCATCTCTTTCTCTGGGCCAGCCTGTGGCTTGACGTGGGCATGGGCCAGCCGTGGTTGTTCCTTCCACTGCTCTTTGATATAGGCCATGAAGTTGGACCTTGAGGCCATGATGGCGTGACCCTGAGCCCAGTCGGCACATTGTGTGTTACCCCCACGAACATCTGGAATCCATCACCGCCAAGGCGTTGCAGGGCTCTTGCATCCTGCGCTCAACCCTTAACAAGTTCCACCGACATGCGCTTGCCAAATTCGGAATCCTTCTGGCCCATGTCCAAGGTAGTGACGTGCTTGCCCAGGCGCTGGGTGCATTGGCCAAGTTGGGCTGGACCCGTGCCGTTACGCAGGAAGGCCGCATGCCGAGAGATCAGCCTGGCTGTAATGCCCCATCACTCAGCATATTCATTACGCATATGGGTCCTGCCTAGAGCTGGATTGAGCCTGCGGCATCGCGTGACGGCGCCCGCTGCACGGCCGATATGGGTATTCCATTCATCCGCGGGCTTCTCTTCAGCTCGCAGGATGGCTCCTTCCATTAAGCTGACCCAGATGTCGCAGTCGTCTGTGATGCTGGCCCACTCGAAATTGTGGAAATCCTGGCAACCGTAGGCAGGCTTAGATGCAGCGGGCCGAGCTCGATGGGCACGCTCTCTGGCCACAGAGGACGCTGCAGCACGCCGAACAACATCTGCGCGTGGGGCCAGTCCGCTTGCCACGGGGAGGATGAGGAGGAGGAGGAGGAGGAGGAGGAGGAGGAGGAGGAGGAGGAGGTGGAGGTGGAGGAGGAGGAGGAGGTGGAGGGGAGGAGGAGGAGGAGGAGGGGGAGGGAGTGAAGGAGGAGGAAGGGGAGGAGGAGGCGGGAGGGAGGAGGAGGAGGAGGAGGAGGAGGAGGAGGGGGAGGAGGAGGGAGGAGGATGATGATGATGAGGAGGAGGAGGACAGGAGGAGGACAGGAGGAGGACAGGAGGAGGAAGAGGAGGAGGAAGAGGAGGAGGAGGAGGAGGAGGAGGATGGAGGATCACGAGGAGAAGGAGGAGAGCAGGGGGAGCAGGAGCAGGAACATGACTGGAGAGGGGTGTGAAAAGATGAAGACGAGGAGGACAAGGACGACGAGGAATATGAGGAGTTGGTTTACTGGTGTATTGGTTGATTGGTGCATGAAGGTGGAGGTACGTTTGGACCCCTCCCCGCAGCCGTCTTTGTTGGCCGAGGGGCTGCAGGGAGGTCCTCGGCCCCTTCCATTGGCTATTGACGCCGTAAAGTATTGGTGTACTGGTGTATT